TTGATGGTTTCAAATATTAGTAGTATTGTTTTAATGCACGCAGGCAGAAGTATTCTTGTCTCTGACATATATTGCATCCAAATATTGTACTACCATTAAAATGATTTTATATTAAAAATATATTATACCCATCTATATAATATACAAGTAACAAATTTCTTCTGAAAATACATTTCTATATTCACGCATATCATAAATATTACGTCCATAGGACAATAGATTGCTATGTTTCGACACGATCTAACAATACATTTTCTCTATAAACTATGCAACAGTGATGTACAATTAAAAGTTTGTAAGTAAAAAAACTACAAATACATTGGCACACTTTAAAACATAATAACTTTACATATTCTATCTATGCAACAAAGAATATAGTACAGGTATATACAGTCCCATACTCTCAATTTGTTCTAAACTTTAAAAGTGCATTTGCATGTAAAACTAGGCAGACTCGCCTATTCATCGCGATAAATAAATCCTTACTGAATATTTATGTAAAAATATGTTTCCTTTAGTATGACTAGTTACAAATTAAAATTTGCTTCATTGGTTTTTCGTTAATTGACATTGCGTCAACGAAGGTAACAACTGCTCCCTGCAACGCGTTACGTTGTTAGTACTCTTGCAGCAGTTGAACACTCTCTGCAACTGTTGCAACGATTTTAAACAAATCACAACACAACAAGATCCACAACCACCGGTGACATTCTCGCACGAACATTCCGTTTGGAAACAAGACACGAAATCGTCTACCACTTTCGATGACGTCTGCTTTTTACTGATCTCGGGAATCGAACTCGAGTTGTTTGAGCAATTTCGTTGGTGATCGGTACATTTGCATATATCTGCGTCGGCTGCAATTTCCTGCAAAATATTTCTACTCTTTCGTGTTTCCCCACTTGCTTCCTCGTTCCGTTTCTGCTGACACCGAGTGACATCGTTGTTAATGCTCTCCGTATTTACTAAATTTACATTTTCTACTTGCTGTAATGGTTCTAACTGATTTTCTATTTGCAACGGATAGGGTTCTGGTTCAACTAGATCGACTAACGAGTGAACTGCTGTCGGGAAGGCATTCAATTCTGACCAGGATTGTCTCCTCAATGCGGATGGAGTTGCCAATGCAATAACGTCTGTCCAAGGAGACGGTATTTCTTCCTCAGACGCTATCGCCAGTTCGATTGCTGCCGATTGGGCAGTTGTGATAACGTCAGAATTCAGTGAATGTTCTACTTCATTAAGAGATCCAGTTCGTAAACTGTCATTGATATATGGCAGATTTTCTATCTCGTTCTCAAATAATTGGGTCTCGTCGGAAGAACTAATTATATTTGATACGTGACTAGCAATAGGGTCGGTGGTATATAGAGTCGCATTTCTTTCACTGTCGACGCTATTATAAGCTTCCTCGTTTTCATACTTCTGCACGCCGCTCGTGAAATTTGTCTCTTTCGAGATATGCTCTATAGTATTTTGCAAGCCATCTTGTATAATCTTTTGCTCCAAATTTATCGAATTAGACTTTACTACATTAGTTGACTTGCCATCCCGAATTTCTTTTGAAGAATTCGAAGTATATCGCTGTTTTTTATCTGAATCATCCATCTCAGTGAATATTTTAAATTTATCATAGCTTTCATGATTATTAAAATGATCGATCGCGTGTGCAGTAAAATTGTTTAGTATATTATCTGATGTAAGCAGATTAATCTCTGTGGATTTATCTATACTCTCTGTTTCCTTACTAGTAATATTATAATTAAGTTCTTTAATCATATAGTTTGTAGTTGACTGATCGTTCGAACTTCCAATAGATAAGAACACCATATCTTCTTTATTTTGTGTATTGCTAGTAGATAATGGTATTATGGCGTAAGATGGCACGTTTGTGTTCCTCGATGTTATCTCTTCAACATCGATTTCCGTCTTTAATATCTCATTGTTTCTTTGGTTTATGTACTTATCATGGTGGACTTCAACTTTCTACAGCAAATTAACATATGGTAGGAGTAGTTAAACATATATCGATATCACAAAATTTTTTACGTACCGTATCATCTTTGTTGGTCATCCTTTTATGAGTTTTCAAATGACTTTTTAAGCTATGCGGTGTGGTAAAGGATCGCTCACAGTTCCCAAAAGAACACACGTAAGGTCGTTCCCCTGTATGCGTTCTTTTGTGAGTTTTCAAATGATGCGACGCTGTAAAAGCTTTACCACACCCTTTTTCTCGACATCTGAAAATACAAATCATATTCTTCTACGAAGTTTTATAAATCGGAACTTAAAGAAATATGAACTGTGTTAAGTAGGCGAAATGCTGGAAGTGAGAAACGATTTAATAATGCCAGAAAACATACTTGTAAGGTCTTTCTTGAGTATGAGTACGAATATGTTTTTTGAGATCGCTTAAAGTAGTGAAGAATTTAACGCATCCAATCTCCTCGCAGTTAAACGTGTTGCCGCTGTGAAGTCTTTGGTGGGCTCTCAGTCTGTAAAGGGTATTGAATGCTTTTTCACAACCTTTGTGGTTGCATTCAAACGGTTTCACTTTTGTGTGTACCCTAATGTGAATCTTAAGGCTGTACGACGTGAGAAAGGCCTTGCCACAACTTGGTTCTGCACATTTAAATCGATACTCGCCTGAAAGTTTTTAGAATTCCCTCCACATAAAAAGTTTGCTGAGCTATCTATGACTTGCAGTATCTGAAAGCCATGCAGGTCGAAGCGTTCCCTTTATATCAGCAGTGATGATTTATTTCATGAATAGAAAGTGTAGAGAAAAAATGTATAAAGCTTAACCTGTAGCCAGACTTTTTATAAGCTTACCTTATATCCTTTCTTAGCAAGAACAAAGAACGAAACACATATTAATATGGTATCAAGACGCCAGATAAAACACAAAGTTATTTCAATGTATAAACAACACATTGGCACTATGCTTCAAAATACCTTAACAGACAATAGTATTAAAATGTTTCATGTTATTAAAAAACGCATTGTGGCATAAGAAAGTAGCAACATGCTGTTATGATAAAGCAATATTGCACAAACATTGAACATGATTCATTCACAGAAAATGACAGAAGAATCTTATATAAGCTTATGATGATTTAAAAACTACATGTATTACTTACCTTTATGTGTTTTCATGTGGGTTCGTAGATTGCCAACTGTACTGTAGGTCCTAGTACAGCCTTCATATTCACAAGTGTACCGACCAATCTGCTTTTGATTTCCATCTCGAACTGTGCTGTTGACATCGATAGCCATATAGGATGATTCAATTGTTGGGACATCATCTTCACCAGAATGGATACGCATATAAATTTCATGGGGACTAATTATTTGATGTGTTGACCTGAAAGAACATATTTATCTATTATTATTCATTCACATGCAATATATTGTTTGTAGTATGTTAAATATTATGCAATACATCTTGAGGAGTTATTTATTATTCATTAAATGTATAATTTGCTCAAGACTAAAGGTCTGATTTCAAAGTGAGTTATATCCTTATAAGGATGCTATACAGAATATTGTCTGCTATAAACGTTTAGATAAGTAATGCCTCATTGAATCATTCGAACTTTTAATTTATAATAAATAATTGATAAAGAAGATATGAACGAAAGGGAAGCATGAGAAATTTGTATCGTCTTACTCTGTGGTATTGTCATTAGATAGCCTTTCGTCAATAAGAGTATTGTCATCTGAATAGTTTTCATAATTAAACACAGCACTCTGTTCGTACACCTTCCCAAAACTTGTTAAATCTAAACTGTCGTCCAAGCAATCTTGGAGATCATGCGTCACGAGGATATTATCAAAATTTCCTTCAATATTATCGGCATTCTCGATCTCACGAAATTTCTCGCCTTCCCACGTCGCCATACTTTTCACTGCTGTACAATCCTCTACGAAAGTTCTCAAGTAGCTTACTTCAGGATTGTTCGTGATTATACCTCCATATGCACGTGGGGTGAAAGCGAAGTCAAATGTTTGAGATCGATGATACAGTACAATAATATATACTTCCAACTGCACATGCCATTGGCAAGTTAAATTAATTGCTACCAGTTTGGAATTAATCCTTCGACGAAATTAGAAAGAGATTTTTTACAACAAAGTGATATCTGCAGTTAAAGAGAAATTCGGTGGAGTTTCGTTTTATAGAAGTATAATTAGAGAATGATGTAATCCTAATCGTTCTTCATACATTGGGATATGATTGATTGTTATTAATACAAAATGGATAAATTAACAATTATTTCTGGCACGTTGTTCCTTGCAGCTGACGTATTTGCGATCGTCAGTCTTGCAATGCCTGATTGGATTATTACCGACGTTGGTGGTAAGCAATTATATTTGTTTAGCATCAATTGTTTCACTTATAGTAAACATTTAAATGTAATCTTCAGGAGATACAAGATTAGGGCTGATGTGGTCATGTATGACGCTATACAATAGGCCTCAAGTTTGTTATAGTCCGAATTTACAGCCAGAGTGGTTGATGGCTCTTGTTTGCATTTTTGTTGGATGCATTTTAATAACAGCCACTATTATATTACTAGCAAGCTCTCATTGGGATCGTAACGTTATTCCTTATGCAAGATGGGTGGGATTCACAGCTAGTAAGCAGAATAAACCTCTTTCATTTCTAATATACCTAAATGATTTTTAAAAATATGAAATTGTTTTTCAGTGGTACTATTTTGTCTAGCAGCAGTCATATTCCCGATGGGTTTCCATATTAACGAAATCGGTGGTCAGCCTTATCAACTACCAAATTCGCACCAAGTTGGTATTTCGTACATACTATTCGTTTTAGCTTTATGGATCACAGTAATCTCTGAACTGTTTGCCGGGAAAGTTTGCTTACCGCATTTTTAGCATATACCTCTCTACAAAACTTTTCCTTTCATTTGGTTGATAGCTCTCGTTGTTATTTCTTATATCATACCATGTGAGATCTATTAATCCTTCGGACTATGAATAATTTTTATCCGGTAATTGTACCGTATGATACAACATTTAATTAGAGAGCTTACGATTAGTGTACATAAATGTGATATTTAGGAGCATTAAAAGGGTTTTTGTATATAAGTATTCTTTATTTATTAAAATATATTGTATGATTGTAATTTTGCATGAATTCCAAATGTTAATACGATAATAAGGAGTAATTGTAAGAAATGAAATGTAAATATTTCAAACAATAAATATTCCTCTAGTTTTACTGCTATACTAAATATATCCATATATTTAGACTACGAGAAATAAAAGAAGACGGGAAAACAAGCAAAAAACATTATGACGTTATACTGATTTCGACCCAAAGCAAAACAAAATTGTTGACACATATGTATGATTTCAACATGATTTAAGCATTTTAGTAGCAAAGAAAATAATACAATTGTCTTTGAATAAAAGTTTACACATTTCAAATGAAATATTTCGTTAAACGTATTAGAAAAACTAAAGAACATATGTTCTTCGTTTGTGAATTGTAACTGAGGATACAATTTGACACATACATGATTGGTTTGTACATAAATTTTATGCTAATACACTCTTCCTCGCTTGAGAGATGTTAGATAGTCCATCTTACCAACTATTTCTTTGACTCGTAGAACCTTTCAAATATTCATATCATTCGTATGATTTACAAACAATTTGAAAGGTGCATCGTTATTAAATTAATAGACTTATACCACAGTAAATAAATAATTGGTAAATTGGAGTACTTCGAGGAAGATTATATACAAAAATAACTTAGGGTATAAGATGTATCTTCCTTCAGATATATATAAAATCTGCATTTCGTAGAAATTTTGTCATTAAAGTAGAAAAACTTCTTTCTATTTTTTTGCCTCCTTTACTACAAGATTGTTATGTATATCTTTTTTTCATTTCCTCATACGTTGTATATTCATAATTAGAATAAGAAAGATATGTACAAGAGATCTCGACATTTAATATTTCGATAAAATGTGTGTAAGCGCTCGTTAACTTCGATAGAACTATCAATGCCAAAATCAAAACTCTTATTTAACTTCAACTTTAACTATTATTTATTTCGCGTACCAAGAAAACTATGCATAAAATTCGTAACAACAATCTTAGTACAAATGTTCCATGGAAGTACAGCATGTTAAAAGGAAATACTTTTCTATTTTCGTACAATATCGATTAATAAACATTCTCTGTATTTAGATATACAAGTATCAACAAGAACCACAAAACTGTAAAAGCTATTCTCTCAAGTTTGCTTTTCAAGATTCGGAATATAGCTTCGTCTATATTTATTAATTAATGATCTTTCGTCTTAACGTGGTTTACCACTATTTGATTGATTATTTCCGATAGTGTCGCATCTTCGATAATATAATAAATATGGAACTCTCGGAGGGGTGGGCTTTAATACATTACTTTCAGAAATACCTTTCAATGAACTATCATCGTATCTGACCCAGCCGCCGTATCCAACGTGAAAAGCGTCTGTTACGTAGTGACCCTTCGTCGCCTCTTTCCCATCATGATAAGTAACTGCAAACAGCTTATAATGTTTCTGCTTTGGATTTAATTTCTTCACAGCGTTTGGCGATAGGAATTCTGCAACAATTAAATTTATATCGTCAATTCAATCTAGCGTTTAGTGAAAGTCAAGTGATGCTTTTACTTACTGCTGTCTAGTTTTAAATCGATTGGGAACTCTACACTCTTCACAATTTTTGAGCAACCGTCGAGCTTGTAATCAAACCATTTTAGATGTAATATAAGAATCACAGGTAGTTCCTCTAAGGTAACTTGTTTCCAAGCCTCTATTTGTTGTTTCGTTTTACTACACGTCATTCCTTCCAATTGATCTTTTCCAACAAGAATTTCGAGTGCACCTTTGACGGATTCTGCTTTCTAAAAGTAAAGAAATCTTTTAGTAAATTGCACTATTGTGATTTTACAATTTGATATATACGTACTTCGATGTCAAGTTGTAACGTGAAAAACGGTTGGACGTTGTCTGTTGGTTGTTCTCCTGCTCGTGAAACTCGAGATCTTAATTGCCCGCGAAATATATCAGACAATGGTGTTCTTCCGAATTCAGTACACCGTGTAATAGATCCTTTATTTTTTGGACCCATCACCTACATCCAAAACTTGGTATTAATATCACTAATCAATGATAAATTAATTATTTAATACAGTGTCATATCTTACCTTCCATTCCTCTTCGCCATTGTTATGATTTACATTACTTTCTACGTTAGTCGTTATGTTTTGGTCATTATTCACTAACTTAATTAGCTAAAACAAATAATTATATCATTCATATTGTCTCGTTAAACATTTGCATCGTGTTTACTACAAAAAGAATATTGTTATGAACATACTTCAAGCATTTCGTCGTTGATACCGTTCAGAAGGCACGAGAGGAATTCTTCTGCATCTTCTTGGCGCCCTTCCACAGAAAATACACCCGCTGCTGACGTATGTTTTAACATGGTATATACATAAAAGGGTTCAAAGGCCACTCCACTTTGTATATCTACCACCGCATCTTCCCCTCGTTTATTCGCTCTATCTTTCCTAGCTAGTCGTGCGCCATCGGACAAAGGCGTAAATTCGTTTACAAATTTGATCCTGCATCAAAAATAATTAAACATGAAGCACTCGTACTAAGCTTAACAATTGTATAAAGTTTCAGCTTTACTCACATATTATCGATGAGTGGAGTAGATGACGTTTTACTGAGATTTTTGGAACGTGGTAGAGCCATTAAAAGATTGTAAAAAGGTGGACAAGCAAGCAAAGCTTGCAATATGCTATTGATATAACAGTAATTGCTACGATTCGTTAATCCTCTGGGTAACAAACTCACAGTTTGCTTATCCATTTGATAGTTTAATAGAAATTCTAAAACAATATACGTGTGTAAAGAAATGCATCATGTTCGTGCAGGAAAAAATAGTTTTACTTACCGCCCATGCGGAAAGCGAGAGGATCGTTGTAACAATTTTGTAATGGTTCCGCTTGTGGAAATTTGTTTTCAGTTACAACACTTTGCACGTTGGATGATATATCATTTGTGAAAGCTGTAGTACTAGATCGCTGATCTTTTTCTACTTGCATCTTGGATGCCACGTCGTTTTCGGTAATCGGTAAAGGATTAATGCGCGCAGTCGGCTTATAGCTCGACGAAGTTGATTGTGCATCTGTATTCCCTTTCTTCAAAATACTAGCCCAAGATATATTAGACGGGGCTGGCGATGATATTGCTGGTGTGCTTGTTACGATAGGAGAGCTGTTCGTTACTTTAACAACATTTTCTTCTTGCGTATTTTTCGTAGATACATCTTCTTTCGGAGCTTCGGTTTCATTCTTCGAAACCGGTTTAGACAATGTTTTAACAACAGTCGTTTTTATGCTAGAAACTGTTTCGTTCTTGTATTCCTTATCGGTTTCCCCATTTTGTTTTACTTCGATGCTACTATTAATGTTCACGCAGGGCACATCATTTTTCTCGGTTCCATTACAATTCTCATTTACAGTGGATACGATGTTATGCTCTATTTTAACATTTACAGGGGGCACTTTCCCATTTGCGTTTGAATTCTTTAGATTGGCAGTATTTTCGTCCGTGTTATCAGTGCATTGCTCTACTTTACTGTTATTCACAGTTATAACTGTAGTGACTATGTTGGTCTGTGAAGAATTCTCCTCTTCATTTACTTGATGAAAAGGTGGCTTAGCCGGTGCATAAGCATTCTGCACACGTTTCTCGTGAGACTTTGTAGCTTGTACCTTTGTACACTCTTGAGTAGGTTGAGAAACGATGGGTGCTGCTTGTCGAACACATCTTATATTTCCTGAAGGATGATGATAAGGAGGGTATCCATACGCAGCTTGTGTGTGAGGATGTGTGTTGGTATGCGTATGAATATTTGGTTGATAGATGGCTAGCGGAGGATAATGGACATGACTGGAAAATTGCTGTTGTTGCGTTTGATCCGGATACATAACAACGAAGGATAAAGGCGGATGAAATTGTCCTTGCTCTCCCATATATCCTGGCTGCATTTCGTTTGCAGGATTCATTCCGCGATTGAAATTATCTCTTCTTATTCCTCTTCCTCTACTATTTCTTCTATTGTTTTCTCTGTTGCAAGTGACATCATGCATTTCAGTACCAAGATTGTAGCCTGGATGAGTGTAAGTCATGGTAGGCATGAATGGTTGTATATGAGCGTCCGTTGGAACTGGATAAATGGCTGGTCCCTGCCAGTCACTACACATTATTTGTTGCGTGTACGAAGGTGGTGGTGGCATCGCTAGATGTGGGTAAAAACCTGATCAGTTTTTGCCATAGATCAAAATGGAAATTAATTTTCTATTCAAAATATAATTACCATTTTGATACCATTGATTAAGAAGCTGAGGAATTTCTGTCACAGAAACATTGACATCATTATTAGCCTCGACTGTATCCCACGGCAATTTTAATGAATCATTAGTAACATTGGATTTTAGAATGCTTATTAAATGATTCTTATCGCTGTCATTTAAATCGTGCAAATCTAAGAATTGAAAATCAAGCTGTAACATAATAAAATAGTAATTTATTATAAGCAATAG